AAACGCGCGGAAGGATGTGGAGGCGTTAACGTCTGCACTCTTTAAGCATAACTAGAGACTGTTAACTTCCTGTGCCAAGAGAAAAAGTAGTCGTGACACCACGATCAGTGTTCTGAGTGTATATTGGTTCTGATGTAAAAAGAGGGAGTCTAAATGAATTGCAAATGACGCAAGCCGAATCGTAGCTTGATATGCTATTTGATGCGAGTTGCACATAAAAGATAAACATTTTCTTTAATGAGATCGGCTAATGTAATATTTCGAGCCATCTATGTTCTGATCATCTGATCAGAACATAGATGGCTGAAGTTCACAGTGTCAAGAATAAAGTACCCAATACCAGTGAATGCACTGGGAATGCATTTCCGTTTCAGGCTGTACCCGATTGGCACCGAAGTATCACGGATAACGGACAAGGACATGGAGCTCGGCGGTTACCATATACCGGCTGGGGTAGGTCGCAATATTTACCAGCCTGTCTCCGTGTTGCCTGTAAGCTGTGGATTGTTTGTCAACCAGGTCTTATCGAATGGGCTATATATTTTATTTCACTGTTTTTAGGAAGAACTGTGTGTCAGTCAGTTTATAACGAATTAGGAGCCATGAACCATGAGCATTGAGCATTGAGCAATGAGCAAAGAGCAATGAGCAATGAGCATGACTCCATAAAGCATCAACCATTTGCTGAAAGTTGCCCCCGCCCCGCGACAGACGCACGTGGACCTGAACCAGTGGGTGCAGCTGCGATCGGAGGACAGTTTTCCCGAGCCGACCACCTTCCGGCCGGAGCGGTGGCTCAGGCAGAACCGGCAACAGATCGACCCGTACCTGCACATACCGTTCGGACACGGCACCAGGATGTGCGCCGGTGGGTCACCATAGCGTGGTGGAAGGGCTGTCGCGGGTTAAGTGATTTCGTCATCCCACCTCAGTTTATTTCACACAAATAAACATTGGTAGGGTTTGATTATGTTTGTAGCAAAGAAAGGAATCAACCAACATGAGAGGAATGTGAAATTGGAACGATTTCAATTTCTTTCCAAGCCCGGCGGATGTTTCTAACAAAGCTTGAGATCAAAGCTTCGTCGTCTTCCTTTTTGACCCTTCTCAGTTTGTTGCAAAAGTTCAACGACCTTCCTTTTTATCCCTCAGGCCGTCGGTTCGCGGAGCAGGACTTTTGTCTGGCGCTGGTGCGTCTTCTGCAGCGGTTCGAGCTGCTTCCGGCTGACGGACACCGGCAGCCGCCGAGGCAGCTGTACGAGACGCTGCTAATGCCCGACCCTCCCGTCCAGATCCGCTTCGTCAGACGACGCTGAGATCGTCCAGCAAGTTGCTTTGTCAGACGACGCTGAGATGGTCAGGAGCCGCTTCGTCGGAAGTCTCTGAGCACGTTAGGCGGGATCATCGTCAAACGCCGCTTTATGAACGGGATTCGCTTTATCAGAACCGCTCAAGACGGTGCACTCCACTTCAGACGCTGATGTTCGTTCGAGACTATTTGATCGGAAGGTCCTGAAGCCCACTTGAGGCTGCTTCACCAAATACTGGGGAATCTCATCAGTGCGGCACAGACAAGTGCGTGCTGCTGGCTTCGATTACAGTACTCCAAGTATCGTTGAGGCTCTTACGAGTGTCTCTCCAAATGGGTTGAGGACGAAGCTTGTTGGAAGCTTCACGGGTAGACGCCGCTAAAGACTCGGTATATTATGATTTCGGTGCATTATGTACGGCTCAAGTGTCATTTGTGTAAAGGATGATTCACCAAGCGTTATTGGAGCATGGACATAAGAATATAAATGTAAAGACCGGACCGCAAGGATTTGATCAACACAAATGCCTATTCCAGATAAGTTACCATTTTCATCGGCGAATATCACTAGCGCAGGTGGCATCGCCCCAACTTGATTAGACGAAACGTTCAGCACTTTTATGCATTGGGATTTAACTGATTCATCTGAAATTCGTCCCACTTTGAGATGAAAATAAAGACTGAATCCCTGTCGAAAAGACAGCCTTGAGCCAAATATTCAACATTGCTGTTGTTTATTAGTCGTGAACTATGCACCATCATTTCATTTTTTGATATAAATAATTAACATTTCATATATGATTGAATCATCGCAGACATAAGGTGGAGTTACGGTATTCTTTGGCGCGGCGCCCACTTTTGGTCCGGGCCTTTGATCATCTGGAGCAGCGGGGCTCTTGGCGCAGGGACGGCTCGGACCCGAAATGACCGGCCTGACGTCTGTTCCATAGCCGCTGCGCCCGTCCCTGGCCGGCTGCAGGGGCCGGTCCGCGCCGCGCCGGCCCCGGTCACGTGCGGTGACGGCTCGCCGGGTGTCGCCGCCGGCCTGGAACCGCTCGCCCGGCGGCGGGTCGGCCGCTGACCTGACGGCCGTCTATTCTGGTCAGTCGCCCAGACCCGGACGGCGGCCGTCCAATGCGCCGTCAGGGGCCGTTCCAGCGGCGTGGTCGGCCAGCACCGCCCCTAACTCAGGCCCGGCCCGGCGCGCTGTGATGGTTGGCCGCCGCGGCTAATCGCGGCCGCCATTCGGCCGCCGACGACCTGTCATCGGCCGCCGCCCCGGGCGCTGACGACCCCGCCCAGCGACACACGGCCAGACGGAATCACGTAAGGCGCGGAGCGACGCCAGCTCACGGGACCGCCGCAGCGGCCGGTCATTGGCGTCAGCATCCGGCCGGTGCCGTGAACTACCCGCTCAGTAACGGGGAATTCCGCGACAGCCGCTGCTTGGCAGTGCTGGCGGTGATGCAATGCTTCTTGTGGGCGCTTGCAGTATCGGGAAGGACTCGTCTTTGAACCATGGACAGAGACGACATCATGAGCTGCTATTGTTCCTATTGTTCCGGTCACATAAAGCAGTGGGCCATTTGTTAGGTCGAAGGATTCTGTTTACTGTGCAATGATTCACAATTTATTTCTAACCGGTTTGGTACACTTACTCAGCTTTTGTGAAGAGTGCCAGTATCTGCAAACATGACTTCTCCCCGATCATGTCTTACCCTGGGAAGCTTTTGCGTGTACCTCTCGGGTAAATTTGGTGTTAATTTGATTGCGATCGCCTCATAACCCGAGGAAATCTTTATCTGGTCACTGCTCACAATTTGTTTTGCTTTATCTAGCCCGTGTTTGACAAAAAAAAAGGATTATTTGTTGTAGAATAACATACAAGGAAAGAAAACGGGTTGAGCAGTGTATTAAGTATAGAGATGTCAATCAGATACCGACTTTTTGGTATACCGATACCAAACCGATACCAACTTGGTATTTGGTATTTCAATCGTTATGTGTTTGGCATTTTGTTGGTATCATGAACCCTCACTAATGTATAAGATGCTAAGAAATCGGTATAAAGTTGTTAATTCCCTCATTTTCCCAAGTTGGTTTGGTTTCGGTATTTCCCTACGGTTTTTGTTGGTATTTGGTTTGGTATCGGTATTCCGATTTTCCGTAATTGACACCACTAATTAAGTATGAGTAGAACAGACACAGGACAGTTCTGAAAATTCCTGATATTAAGTTTCCGCGAATGTTGGGTTAGGTATACCTACTTGCCCAATTTTCTAAATTTCAGTAAGCGATTAACGATCCACTGAGCTCATCTTTACCCCGAGCCACACCTTCCATATTCTGCACTCTTAGAAAGTACAAAAAGGATTTATAACACACTTGGTCTTAAGCGGAGAGCCTCTCTCAAGTTCATAGCTGTATTGAGTGTATGTATAACCCGCACTGTGCTGGTGGCCTGTGTTTTCCGTGTCATGCTGGGGGGCGTTTTACGTCCCCCCCCCCCTCTAACTCGGCTCCTGGGCCACGTAGCGACACGTGGTAAGCGGCAATCGCAAGAGCATCAAAAATAATGCCGGAAACACTTCGGTCATTATTTAGGTCAGCTCAAAGATCCAGAGGTCATCAAAGATCAAATTTAGTTCATTTCAACAATTTTGGAAACTGCCAACGGCTAATTCGGGAACCAATAGAGCTGCAGCGCCGCGGAAAAGCGCATTTGATAGCTCTTTTACAGACCTTTCTGGATATTGTTCTCAGATTTCACCTCAGATCAACAGTTTAGCCTCCAGAGGGCAAAAACTCCAAAAATAGCAGTTTTCACGAAAATATTTTTCAGTAATAACTTTTTACACAAGAGATCCACGACATAACATGTACCAGCATCGTGTTCCTCTCGTCGAGACGCGTCGAATAAACTATACGTTGACCTTTAAAGGTCATTTTTAAAATTTGACCTCAGGTCAAGGTCATGACCTGACCGGAAAGGGTCATGTTGCATATCAGTTGATCCGTATCGTCGAGCTGAACACATCTGACGTGTTTTCACCGCTCTAGCACGTCGCCATCAAAAGTAAAAACAAAACAAACAAAAAAAAACTGCTGGTGACCGTTCATGACCTGAGATGACCTCAGGGGCACACAGAGGGGTCACAGGTGCATTTTTCCGATTCACTGTGTCATGTTTACGTATGAACAGATGATTGAGAGGGTTTTGAACGACATTCGTCCAAAAGAGGCGTTTTTTCAATTTTCTCCCACTGACTTATACCTAATGGAGAGGTCGCAAAATTGACCTGACCTTAGGTCACAGATATAAGAAATCCGAGATAAACGTTTTATACATACTATTACTCTTGTCAATCGCTGAAAGTTTCAAAGTAATCGTTCATTTGGTGTAGCCATAGCGAGCCTTTAAACCTTTTCTGAGGTAAGGTCACTTGACGTGACCTGGTGACCTGACCTGGGTCTCAAATTTTCACAACATGTGCGGAAAAGATGTATGATCAGGTGTCAAATAAAAATTGTGCGCTGCGCGCCGTCGTTTTTGAAATATTCGCAAAAAAACCTGAGGGGGGGGGGCGTAAAACACCCTCAAGTACGGCGCGGGTTAAACATGTATACCTCACTCTACAATGAAACTCAGTTGCCGGCAGGTGCAATTAACAAATAAGGATAAACTAAAATTATTCCAAGTTTTTTTAACAATTATAATTACTTCATGGTGTCTTGTATCATGGAAAAGTGTCTCAGCCGTCTACCTACATGCGTTTGAAATGCGAAAGGCATGCACATTTTCACACATCGCTGTCAAGGTATTCCCATCAAACGGACAAACTATTCCATCTATCCGAGATACGGCGTGCTCAGCAGGCACTAGACGCGCCGCACATACATCCGTCAGTGACCCCCAACTCACACGCCATCGTCCGCCGGCCTCGGTCAGCGTGTCGGGTCGTCTGGTGGCTGCACAAACACGCCCGGGCAGAGCTGTCTCCGAACGCTCGAATTAGCCGCCTCTGCGGACGCGAACAGTTGCGCGCGTGCCAAATGTAAGACAACACCCCGGCCCTGCCGGCGGGCGGTGAAGTGATCGAGCCCGATGCCAAACCGTCGCTGGAGCCACTACACTGGAGCCGCCGCCGCCGCCGTCGTCGGGCGGCGAGTCTGCGCAGTAGCCGGCCGGCGGCGAGTCTGCGTCCAGTCGCGCGGTCGCACAGCCGTCCCAGAGCGCCGCTCCGCGACACGCCCGCTGCCGCCACCGCCACAACATGGCCGACAAAAAGGACGAGATCCGCGCCAACATCGAGGGCAAGGACCTGCTGGGCACCTACGGCATCTTGGTGGCGTTCCTGCTATTCATCTACGTGCTCTACAACGTCATCTACTGATGATGCCATCCAGGCTGGCGCGCGAAGACGCGTCGATGGACACAGGTGAGTACTGGCGACTGATGTAACGGTGCCGTCCCTGGTGAAGTGCAGCCTCATCCTCTGCTGAGACAGGCAGTCTCCTCTTGTGTCGTCTCGGTTCGACAGGTGCCAAGGCGATCAAGTTCTACCGCGCGAATGCTTCTGACGAGCAGTAAATGTGCTGGACCGTCCGTTCCGATCGTCTGCTCCATTACGGTCTCGGGCCCTGGAGCTGGGTCAGAGTTGGTTCTCTAGTTCTCAAGTCGTATACTCAGAGGGAAACCGATTTCAATAAGCGAACCAGCTTCAATTTTCCAACGAAGTAGTTGATTGATTGGAAGCAGTGTTAGTTTCGGCAAGTAATGAACCTGTTCAAACCGACGGTCTCCAGCCATCTCTAGTTGCGCCGTTGCGCCGTTAACTTAGACCGAGGAAAATTAACTCAAACGCGTATGCAGTCTGACCACCTGTTGCACTTGAGTCGGCTAGGGCCATGGTCTGAGTTGAAGTCTCCGGGCTCTGTCAACTCCCAGAGCTGACAGGAGTAATCACGTGCTGCGTGAAACTATGCGCACAAGAGTCCCAGACGTACGTGCCAAGTGTTTCCAAAAGGCGAAGGAGAAACTGCACCATTCCGTCGGGAGGCAATGCACCATTTTTTTTTTCAAGCGATAAAATAATGTTTAAGCCCAATGCAGTTTTGTGTCTACTGTCCAACCTGAAAGCTTATGTCATGTATCTCGTGCGCTGTCACGTTTCCGCAATGTCAGGTCACAAAAAAAGGTCAGGTCGGTCGCCCTGGGTCGACCCAAATGATATACCAATTTTTTATCCGTCCCATTATTAGATGAGTTGTTCAGTTTAGTGATATTAAATGTAAGCACATCCTTGCAAGACGGGGCTGAGATTCGAAAAGAGCGCTTGCTTAAATGACAACTCTTTATGAATAGTGAGGTTAGGTTCCAAGGTCAATGCTTCAGGGTCAACTGGAGGTCACTAAATTTTGCTTAAGGTCACCTCATCATCTGAGGTCAGATTCTAAATCATCTGAGATATTTTAGTTGTTTTGAGGCTTCTCAGGCTTCTCATACGTTTTAGTTATGTTCCTAACATCATGACCTAGACGATCACTAGAAATGTTATTTCGATTATGACAGCATCAAATGATTTATTGGCCTCTAAGGAAATTGATAAACTAGACGTTGAGGCGGTTGAGTCCCTATAATCTGATACCGTAGTTTTTCTTCTCCATTATAAAGCGAAGTGAGTTCGGTTTTACACCAGATTTGGCAGGGGATTAGTAATAATTCATGCAAGTACGAAAAGCCTTCAACAAATCACCTTTTGCCAGCAATCGCAAATTGCCCAGTGGGCAGTTAGCAGATACTTGACATAGACTTTTCATCACTGATTATCATGAAACGATAATCACTTCATGTAACTCAGTGCAGCTAAGTGGGGCTACATACTCATGAACTTTCCATTTTTAGCACTTACAGGATTTGAAGTTAAAAGTTGGCATGGGGCAGAAGTCTGATCGGCGACGTGAAGCATAATGTAGGTGTTTGTGTTTGAGGAGGACGGGGGGGGGTTCACCTAAGGCACAAATAGGAAACTTTGAAGTTGTAAGACATGATTTAAGCATTCTAAGCCGTTTGTTTATAGGTAGTTGATTTGAATTAGGTCGAGGACCGCGGTAAATCACTTAGCTCGATTTCTATTTGCATCATTCGTCAATCAAAAGGCTAAGCGTATCCAATGCAACTATTTGTCTTATGACACTGTGAAGCGGAGGCTGACGTATCGCTACGACGGATAACGGAGCTGCTCCTGTACCGACCGTGCCAATACGAACATTACCCGTGCCATGCGGGCTGCCTACCTGCCAGGCAGCTGTGCCAAGGATGGCAGACACAAGCCGCCAATGGTATCATACGAATCAATCAGCCTGCAGCCAACTACTTATCCCACATCACACATTCTTGAATAGAGGTGGCAAAAGGTGAAAATTTTGGGAACCAGACTCGAACCAAGCCCGACTGGACATTTCTGGAAGTTGTCGGACCCGGGGCCGTATTCACGTCGACTTCGTAAGTCAAATTTCTTTCTTAAGTATAATTTGGTATTCACGTCGACACTTCCTAAGTTTTTATCGACGGAGTTCACGTGAATAAAAAAAATACTAAAGAAGTAGGTCAAACTTAAGAAAATTCTTACGAAAATGATCGACGTGAATACGGCCCCCGGGGCCGTATTCACGTCGATCATTTTCGTCTAAGTCTAACCGGTCTAAGTTGGAATCGAAGCCAGTGGGACCCGTTCCCCAAAAGTCAAATAATACAAACTATTTGTATGCATCATTAGTTGCATCAGGTAAAACACCTTTTTCCCACTGGCAATACTAGTAAGCTAGAGTGTCCAAGGAAACATAGGCACACGAGCAAATGTTTTCTTTCCATTCACTTTATATTTTGCAATCATGTGTAGTGTGCAAGATGTATGGTTTATGGTAGGACCCGGTTGGACTCGTCAGAAAATTTCTAGGAACCGGTCTGGACCCATATGGGTCCAGACTGGTTCTTTGGACCGGGTCCTCGGGTCCACATTTTGCCACCTCTATTCTTGAACCATTGGGCTTTGTCGTTAATTTGTGATCTCACATATTACAATTTAATTTGAAGCCAAGCAGTAGTGGCGACACCTTCAGAAATTGACATAAGTTCTTCCTCACGTCTCACAATCGGTCGTCGCCTTCTGCCTCGCCACACCCCCTTGGCATTTCGGTTGGCTCACAGCAACTAAGTCGTGTTGTGGTTCCAGAAACCACAACACGTTCTTCTCCGTTCTCCCATTGTTGGAACCACACCAAGGACAATACTTTGTCCCATCCAACGAGAAAACAACTCGGGCCTAGACTTCCGGGGCTAATATATAAGCCTATAATATTCACCCAGGATAATAAATCACCAGGCCCTCCGTCCCTCAAGTCAGAATGACGCGCTTCAAAGGCAAACGTCATTGCACTCGGAATGGGCCCGTTGGCCTCGATTCAAAGTATTTCATAAATTGCGTAGCACCTCAGATCTCTGTTGACCATCTGTCAGAGTGGCCGGCACATCCGCGGCGCTTTGGCACGACTCGGCATCAGACGGAAAGCAATTAATACGGGCGGGGACGGCGGCGGCCGAGGTGTCACCGCTCCACCCGAAATACCGGCGGCCCGATGCGCCTGGCGCGGCCGGCGGCCCACCTGCGGCTAATGTTTCACTCAGCCCGCCGCCGGTGACGACGGCTGTCAAGTGTCATCTGATGCAACTTCCCCTGCCTCCGTCCGCCGCGCTGCCGCCTGCGCCGTGTCACTTCCCCGTGCCGTGACGCCGCTGTCAAAAATGCTTAATTGGCACGGAAATGCGTTAATTAATGTTAAGCTTAACGCCCGCTCGCAGCCACATCAGCCGAGCTAAAAACAGCTACTTGAATTGGAATAAATAGCACATTTACGCAGGGCTTCGGACCAGCGTATTATTGAAAAATCACCATTTTCTACTGAAAAACATACAAAAAATCCATTGCACAAAACAATAATTGTTCTCCAAAATTCATAACAAGCTCGTGTTTTATCGTACATTGCCGAACCTTCTAATAGCCATTTGTCACGCTCTGTTGACTCGCCCACAAAGTTCATGAGGTGCACGTCACGGGGCGGGCCACACAGCCGTCGGAATCAATCACTGTTCAGTTTATCCCGGCCCATCCACACATCACCACGACATCGCCAGGTGCCCCACTAAATCACCGGGCAATGATAACGGACAGGGTTACGCCATTGATTATCCCATGCCGCTCACGAATGGTGGATGACGAGATCGACATAAATCAGCCCCGATCTCGTGAGTGGGTGAGGTGAGATGGAACGAGAGCCAAGGAAAACTGTCGATTGCCTCACTAATCACCCATGGTTGCCGAATGGCAGGGAACTTTGCAACTGGGAACCCAATCAACAGTTTGCTAAAACATGAACCTTCGCCTCGGGTCAAGGACATCTAATGAAGACGTAACGACGCGGAATTAATTTAAACGATTATGAATGTCCAAGAAAAGAGATGAGATGCGGGATATAGGTCAATTGTTTTTGACGACTAGGGACTTTTAGGCCCATACCAAATATATTCAAATCAGTTAACCCGCGCCCCACTGGGGTCTGCGTATAACACGCCCTACTGGGGGGGGGGGGGGGCTATTCATAGCCCCCCCCCCCCCTCCTAACTCCGAAACTACTGGGCCGATCGTCAAAATTCAAACGGCGTCTGATAGCCCCGGAAAAACTGTCGAGCGAAACCTAATTTCATTGACCTCGAGGTCACCGATGACGTCACAGGTCAGGTCAAAGTAAAAATTATTAGCATTTTGGCTTGTTCACGTTTTGGACTCTGGCCGCCGTCTTACAAGTCAGATCAGGCTCATTTTTGGTTCACACACTCGTGAACAGATGCTCTAGATACCCTGAGGGTACCAAACTTGTACTTTGATTTTCAGGTCAAGGTCAGGACATCACAGGTCACGAAAATATTATATCATGCGTCGGTCACGTGACACATATTTTATGGTCCATTTAGGCCAAAAATTTCGAATTTGATGTCGTCTGTGTCATTCGAGGTCATTTTGAGTCAAATTTAGCTTAGGTCAGGTCACTTTCAGGTCAAAAAAGGTCAAATTTTGAAGTTAAAATTTTTCAACAAAAAAGGTGTCTATTGAATGCAGTTTGAGCTCAGGAACACGATGGTGCTATTTATATTGGCGTGCGATGTCAAATACGTGCTGAAAATTTATTTGAAAAATTAATAATTGTGAATTTTTGCAATAATGCGTATAACTTGGCCATTTTTTTAAGATATTTAGCTTAAGCTTGCTAGAGTTAGTCATAATAATGCGTTCTATCACTTATAATCCGGTTTTTCGAAAATACAAAAACTGTTTGAAAAAATGCAAAAATAAAAATTTTGAATTTTATTATATTAAATTTTCGAAATTTTCAAAATTTCGAAAATTCGAGATAGCAGTTTGATAGCGCAGTCTATTCTGAGTCCTCTCATGCAAAGAAATTGGATCTAGCTTAAAAACTGAGCTCTTGGGAGCGATTGCCGTGGTTCAATGCTTTGCGTCGAAATCGGCCGAACATGACGTCACTCTGACGTCATTTCCGGCCGACCTATGGTAGGTACGAAGCTCAAATTTTGACACAAGGTGTCAAATTGATGCAGCCGAAGGTACGGAAAGTTTGGCGTCGATACGTCAAGCGGTTTATAAGTTATTGCAGAAAAACGGGAGGGGGGCTATGAATAGCCCCCCCCCCCCCCCAGTGGGGCGCAGGTTAAGGCTTGGGAACTGGTGACTCATCCATGATGCCAAATATTCTAGCGATATCACCCATCATGAGCCATGAAAGATTTGTTAAGAAAGGGAAGAAAGGGAGGAGGGAGAAAGCAGGAGGGAAATTCGGGATTCACGGAAAAAGACTGATGGATTCCACAGTTTACTAAGGTTTCATTTTCTGATTGCACCGGTCCCGGCGTGTGTTTCAGGTGGTGCGGCCGGCCGACCGCGCCCCCGTCCGGCCCGGTGACCGACACCTGACGGCCGGCCGCCGCCGGAGCCCGCCGCCCGAGTACACCCGGAGGACGCCCGCCGGCGCCCCGCGGCGCCCGCCGCCGGCCGGGGGCGCCGCACGCCGCGCACCCGCTCCTCCCCGCCGCCGCCGACCGGAGGCGGGCTGCACCACCCGGCCCCTCCCCTCCCCCCACCCCTCCATCAATGCACACGTGCCGGCGGCGCCAGTCGCCGGACTGGTGCGTATGCCGGCGCCCGGGCGCTGGGCGCGAGCGCGGACCGCCGCCGCGCGCCCCTCCAGCGGTTTGTCCCGGAGCTGGGCCGGAGTATGGCTGAGTGGTAATGTTTTATATGTACTGCAGACGTAGTGTCTGCAGAGTGAGTAGGCCAGCTTTACACGTATTTGTGTAGAAAGCATGTTGTTTGGGAACTATGTATCTTGTTCGCGTTTTTGTACGTGTTTGTATACCTAATCCTACACATCATAATCAGTATGATGAATACTGCTTCAAATTACTCAGTTAGATCCCTTCAAAGTACAGAAGTTAAATGTACCTACTATGTTTTTGAAACATATACTTCCATATATTTTTGCTCCAAAAATACAATATATGTGGATCCCATGTCAGGTGATCGATGGTTGTTAAGAATATTGCATCTTGACATCAACTATATTCCTAGTTGTTGAAAAATAAATGCGTAGAATGTTGGCGCTTTTGACAACCTGAAGAATGTGTTCAACTATACAACCAGAATACAAAAACACTACACATGGCAGACCAGAATCGCGACAGCGCCAAAATATCCATCGGAAAAGTAGTCTTGGCAGGAGGAATAGGCACTTGGCATCAGATAGAAGTCCACCCTTTTAGCTCATCAGCCGGAAGAGCTCGCTCATCTAGGTATGCATCTACAGCCACATTTCTGCTCGGCATTTGTCAGCTAAGAAATAATAGCCATTATTCAAGATCATTCTGGAGAGACCCGATACGGGCACCCTAGCGGCGGATTCTTCCTGAGCAGCCCAGGTTTGTTTACGGAGACTCGGCGAATACCTATCGGATGAACGGGCCCCTGTTGACTTTGGCTGCGATCAGCGGCCCGTTAGTCGGCTGTCGTCCTGTCAGGGCCGTGCCAGCTGCAGGCGCGCCCATCAGAGATTAGAGCGGCGGGGCCGTCGGCGCTGGATCGGGCCCCGCTGCTGCACGGTTTGTCACCGACGGCGCGGCCGACAGACCCCGGGAGAGTGATGGCCTGTTCGGCACCGCTCCAGGGACGTACTCCAGAGTGGCGGCCACAATTAGGGTCAGATCGGCGGCGCCGGGCGTACCATGGCATGTGCCAGGCGATCCAGGACGTTGCCATGTCGACTGGCGAATGACGTGGGCTTGCCGTGAATTTGTCGACCGGCTGGTGAGGTCTTATCTATCAGCAGTGATCAGATTCGCTTGTTACCTGACATAGTTACTACACCAGTTGCGCATTCCAACACCTGCCCTGCGTCAACAACACTTCGCCAGGAGAACACCAGTCCACTTGTCCCCGCGGAATCTCAGCCCTACCTCGGAAACCTTGACCCCGACCGACCTTAGGAGAACTTGAGGTACGCGGCGCGACAGGCGCGGTGCCAACGACGAACAGGTGCAGGACTTACAGAGGAGACCAAGCATGGCAACTTCACCCCTTCTACCGCCAATAAACCTCGCTGCTCACAGATCTAACGATCATTGCAAGTCAACATCCGGTCTTCGCTGTCATAACACCGCATCATATCACCACCAACACCCGACATCCTCGCCATCGCGGGGCGGTGTCGTTTTGGCCGTGCCCTCAGCTGCGCCAGGGGCCGGGGCCCGGTCACCTTTGACGCAGTCCGGCTGCGCCGGGGGCCGGCCGGGGCTGCGACGTGGGGCGCAGCTATTCTGGACCGGCCTTGGTTCTCCAGACGAGGCGGTGGAATTCGCCAGCCGTCGGCTGCTGGAGCCCAGCGGATGTGGCGCGGGGAGCGGGGAAGGCGAACCTGTTCGCGTTCTGTTCTGCCGTTCTGCAGTTCTGACTTCTGAGCATGACGCCCTGCCATTCTGGCGCTGGAATTATAACGGGCGACCCAAATTGCGGCTAATTTGCTTGGCATCCAGAGCTTGACAGTGAGCGATGGGCACATTCAGATGACTTAAGCTTTAGTTTGATTGCTTTAGCTGGTTTTCTTTGGCTAGATAACGAGACAAACGAAACGAAAGTATGCACTATGCATGCATACATTTTTGAAAGCTGATAAGCACAAAGGGACAGAGCAAAAATAAAGGGACAAAAAAGTTAGTTGTTGGGTCTTCAACTCGTTTACTATCTCAATACCAGTTTTTCCTGTATGTCCCTTTAGTAGATAACAGTTTATTGCACAGTTTAGCTGCAGTTTCAACGAATAAAGCATTTCGCTATTTTCGCCAATATCGAGGATGACTGACGGAAGAGTGGATGATATGCTAATTGCCAATAAGGCGCCAGGCGCGTAACCACCACTGTGGACACTGGGGACCGGTCCCCAGTAACTTTTGGGTTACTGGGGACCGTCCCCAGTAAAACCGACGACCTCAATTTGCTTGAATAGCCAAATATTGTCTCTAAATCGACGTGAAGAGTAATACGAGGTGTGGCTAAAAAGAAACCGGACTGCTCGTCCTGGCCATAAACTAGGGGACCCGAAGACTACCGAGACACTTGACATTAATCTTTAGCATATTGTCGTGATGTGTGCCAAACGGCATCTCGATATCGCTATTATTCTCCTTTCCACAGCTCTTTGTTTTATCGATGTTCGGCGGCCTTGTCATCGTCAGGCTTCTGCAATGAACTTCGAAAAAAGAGGAAACATCAGGTTCCTTGCCAGACTGGAGAAAAGTCCAACAGAGACGCTGAATCTGTTCAAGGCTGTTAATGGGGAGCAAGTCATGTGTCACATGCAAGTGTTTGAATGGCATACGAGGTTCAACACTGCACTGGTCGTGAGGATGTCGGTGATGACCCCAAGGTCTGGGACTCTGGAGGTCCATCAACGTCCGCGCGCATGTCAAAGTCGAGGGAGGAGATGACATTGATCGTCTTTTTCGATCATAGGGGATTCGCTCACCGCCAGCTCGTGCTGGGGGTGTACCACAGTCGACCAGCACTTCTACAAGGAAGACCTGGGACGCCTCATTTCACGAGTCAGGCGCTCCAAGTGGAGTTTCTGGGAAGTCAAGAACTGGGTGCTCCATCACGACAACGCACTCGCGCATTCTGCCATTAGCGTCCAGCAGTTCTTTGCCGAAAAGCAGGTTGTGGTGCTCAAGCACCCTCTTATTTGACAAACCTCCCTCCCTGTGACTTTTAGCTGTTCCCTGAAATGAAAAACGTCGTCAAGAAAACCCATTTTGAATCAGTCGAGGACATCCAGACCGGAGTGACCAGCGTCAGCGTCATCAATAAAACAAAGATCTGTGGAAAGGAGAATAATAGCGATATCGAGGTGCCGTATGGCACACATCACGACAATATGATAAAGATTAATGTCAAGTGTCTCACTAGTTTTCGGGCCCCCTACTTTATGGCCAGCACGAGCAGTCCGGTTTCTTTTTAGCCACACCTCGTATGTAGTCAACGGAAAACAAAACTGGATGTTTTGTTTAGCCAGCGCCCGGGTGGGCCTCTCAACCAACTTAGCCATGGTGGGGGGGGGGGGGGGGCTTTTTGGCCACACCAGATTACCTTAGCAAGCTAGAAAGACGCGGTAAGAAGCAGCAGATAGCTCGCTACAGTATCTTTCAGAATTATCTATGTCATTTTTGATCAAGTCATCGCTCAGGTCACTGGAGGTCACCAAAGGTAAAATTTTCACAAACTTTTATTCCCAATTTTGACAACTTTTCACAAATTGGCGCATACGTCAGGAACCAATAGAGCTGCAGTGCTGCGGGAAAGCGCATTCGATAGCTTTTTCAAAGACCATTCTGAGCAATGTTCTCAGTTTTGACCTAAGGTCAACGGTTTAGCTTCCAGGTTGGCGTTTTGCGGGAAAGGTTTTTGTATCATAACTCTTGACTCAAAAATAGCATGGCGCTGATTTTACCGGCATCGCGTTGGTCTCGTCGAGACGCATGGAAGGAAAAAGTCATGTTGCATGTCATGCGATTGGTATTGTTGAGTTGAACACATCCATGGTGTTTGCGCTCTAACATGTTTCTACCTAAAGTAATGGTAAAAAACTGTTGGAGATATTTCATGACCTGAGATGATCTCAGAGGCATAGAAGGGGTCACAGGTGCAATTTTCCGGTTCAGTGTGTCATGTTTACCTGTGTCGGTGCGCGCCGCGGTTGTGCTTACACGCGCAACAAAAAAAAAAATGGCAGGTGTGGCCAAAAACGCCCCCCACCATCTCCCCCCACACACTCGGGCGAAGGCTGATCCTGAAATATTATATTTGGTCTTCGCGGCCTTCCATGTGGTCCCCAGTAACTTCAGACTCGTGGTTACGCGCCTGTAAGGCGCGGCGCAACATTCCCCATTTCTCCATGCCGTTCCTGTGTGACCTTCACCCCCCCCCCCTTTCAGCACTTTCTTTGAGCGGTGACTTAGGAAGCGCAGTAAAGTGGGCCGCCGCTGCCAAAGGATCTGATGACAGATCAAACGGCGAGTTCACCTGTAGCTGTCGTCTGGCACTCATTGAGACTGGAAACAGCACCTGCCGTCGTCGTCGAGCTCCCAAAATAAATATACGGATAGGTGGTGAATGGTGAGGGCCGGAGTGTTTGCTGAATGTTGATGTGCCCTGGCCGGCACGATTGTTAGGCGATTCGAATTACGAGGCCTCAAAAGAGGGACTCTCTGCAGTGCACTATTAATATGATAGGCATTGTCATGGACGTAGGAACCTCACGAAAAGTGGGGGGCCAGCGAAACTTCAATGTCACTTTGTGGGAGCCCCAATACCCCTATGAAGAAATTCTTTGCAGTTTTGTGCTCATCTCACCTTGCTGAATCATTTCCTGCTCTTAGTTTTGTATTTAAATAAAAAATAAAGATTTTACTTTAAAAAATGGCTAAAAAGTGGGGGGGCCATGGCCCCCCCGGCCCCCCCTGTTCCTACGCCTATGGGCATTGTCAGTAAATGCATTGGTTTAACATACCATCTTTATTAGCTATTTGTTGGCGCTTCCAAATCTTAAAAAAAAATCAAATTACGTCAACTAACAGTCATAAAAATATCCACAAACTTATATAATCTGGCCACACAACTCTAGGCACTTCGATGGTGCTGCAACGAAAAATGGATTAGCATTAGCGTCAAAGCCTGGCATAACTGGAACACACATAAGGCTAACATGAAGTCCGGTAAAAAGTAGGTAGCGGGTCAGATTCTGCCGCATCCTGACGAATGGCGATGACCTCTATTGATTTCCTGTCTGTCTTCCTGTGAAGAAGGGGAGGATAGTACAGAGCCACCAATATATCCCGCATCCATAAGCCAAGTTTTTAAATAATGGGACTAATATGTCGAGTAAATCTCGCAAATGTACCAATAATGGGGCATTCTTTTACGTTCACTTCACCTTGTAGGTATATGCACCAATGGAAGGTACCCAGAAACCATTAGAAGTATGTCCATTGTCTATTCATTTCATGAAAAAGTAAGCTGAGAGAAGAAAAATCATTCCACATACATAATACAGATGTTTGGGACGGGTACAGAAATCTACTTGAGCTCAACAATATAAATGACGGGGAAGATTCACCAAGCAGAAGTATCTGAGAATGCAAAGCATGATATTGCAACACACACCTGAGCCTGAGAGCATATTGCGGCGTTGCGGCGAAAGGCCAACATATTTTCGTCTCCCAACCCCAAGTTTGCGCCCAATTTGCCCCAAGTAAGCCAACTTCCACCCTTGCTTCCACCTGCAATGAGTGCTGTTTGCGCGGTAATCGCCAGTTCCGCCCAACAGCTCTTCATGCTTTTTTATTTCTCATAAGGAACCTGACCTAGTGATAATGTATTATTTATAACGGCTGGGGCAAATTTTGCAGTCTCAATAGAATTGCATACAATGCTACCAAAGCAAAGGTTATATCCAACTTGCCCAACAGTAAAAACATTCTATAACAAACACAACATTTTCTTAGCCATGGCTGCTTTTGAGACTAATTGACTTTTAATTAACTACGAAAACATTTGACACAATATACGAAAAAACTGCCTACAACAAGAACAATAAATCATGGAAAACAAGGATCAAAACTCTTTACTCAGCCCGAACAATCAGCCTTCGTCCAAAAATCTAACCCTACCGCCAATCGGGAAGAGCACCATTACACCGTCATCTCTGAGACCGTTCCCTGAAACTGATCATTCGAAGAGAACAATCGAAACCGAGTTCGGGACCATTATCGTCGATGGCAGGAATCTGACGGTAGAGTCCGAAAACGCCAAAATTCCCACCGCTCCTCCATCCACGGCAATGCTTCTGGGACCGGATAGCACGCGGCCAAAGGAATCTGTCCTGATAACCTGCACGACATCAGAGCAGCAGCCACCGTCGGATAACCTGGATGTCAAGCTGGCAATTGAGCAGAGTCGACGGGAGGATAGCGGCATGTGGCAGTCCGACGTTCAGATGATGGCGTTCGCACTGAGTTCATTTATGTCCTTCAGGTGCGCAGTACGTGGGCCACGACTTTGGATGCAATTTAATGGTGGTGCATTTACCGTGGCATTCGTTGTGTGCCAAGTTGTGTTCACGATGCCACTTTTTCTGCTCGAGGCCGCCCTTGGCCAGTTCACAGGGCACGGGATGGCGGGTTTCATGCCACAAATGGCGCCAGCATTGCGAGGCTTTCCAAATACTCTCCTGTTCTGCCTAGTAGTCAAGCTCGTCTTCTGGATGGACAACCTGAGTACCGTAGGAATATACGTCGTAGAAGCCTTTGAATACAGACCCTGCTGGATGAACTGTAACGAAAGTTTTCATTCTGAAGGGTGCTACACTCCTGTGTTGGACGAGACCTGTCGGAGTCGCGGCGCCCTGATGTTCGCCATTGACCGATGTGTAGATCACAGGGACCTGTGTCAGCCGAACAACGCCTCCCTCTTCCTGTCCCCCACGCTGGACCGGCTGACCGAGGCCTGCGTCCACCTGGAGAACGGATCCACCTGGATCAACGACACCGTGCTGAGCGAGACGCGAGAGCTGGCCGCCGCCGAGTACTACTACGACGTGCAGCGGGCGAGCGACGAAAAGCACGTTCACGCACACGGCCGCGGGATTCTCTCGCTTCTAGGGTGTTGGATGCTGCTGGCGCTTGCCTGTCAGGGAGGCTGGGACCTTGTCTTTTATACCCTGCCGTTGCTGTTCGGCCTGCCAGCCTGCATCGCCCTAGCTATCATGATCAACGAGTTGCTTCTGGTAAAAGACTTCTCCGTGGTTTGGGACCATCTAGTGCCCAGTGTGAAGCACCTGTCAAACTATCAGTGCTGGCTTTTTGCAGCGACGTCCTCGTTGCTTTCATCCAATATTGGTGTCGGTTTCAACAGTCTCATCTTTGCGCGTAACGCACCCAAGCACGACTGCCTACGATCTGCGTTCATCTTAGTCTTCGTCAACTTCCTGATAAACTCCTTCTGGTCGCTGAGCTGCACCATCCTGCTGGCCCGTAACGCCGCACAGATGGGCAGGAATCTGAAGGATCTGCTGCGAGACTACGGTGGCGAGCCGGACCTCATCATGCTGACCAGCTCGCTGGGCCAGCAGGCCGGCACGTCGCAGGTGTGGCTGGCGTTCCTGCTGCTGTTCTCCATGCTGCTCGGGCTGGGCACCTCCCAGGCCGCCGTGCTGGTCATTGAGACCAGTCTGCGCGAGCTCTCGGTGCTCGGCTCGACCAGCACACGCGCCGCCGTCTGCCTGATTGTCAGCGCCGGCTTCATCCTGGACACGATGATCTACCTGTTCCACGACGGCCCCAGCTTGGGCGCCGCCGTGAGCGCCTACGCCAACAGCTACTTCAACATCGTGCTGGCGCTGATGCTGGTGTGCGCCGTGAATGTGACGCTGGACGCGGAGCGGCTGCTGGACGCGCTCTCGCAGCAGCTGACCGTGCCGCTGCGCCAGCTGCGCTGGTTCTGGCTCACCTGCTGGCGGCTGCTGTGTCCGCTGCTGCTGCTCGGTATGTTCGTCTCCAGCGTATGGCACCACGCCACACACCCGCTGCAGTTCCGTGGCGTGCAGCTGGACGCGTGGGCGGCCGCGGTGGCCGTGGTGCTGGCCGTGGCGCCGCTGCTGCTCCTCCTGGTGGAGGTGTTCCGGGTGTACGCCGAGTTCGGCAGCGCAGACGCCGAGGAGCTGTACCGGCCCACCGAGCGCTGGCAGCTCGGCCTCCTGCCGCCCAACAAACGCGACAGTCTCAGCGGCGCCGGCGGCGGCAACCGCAGCGGCAGCGTCGGCGCCGCTAAGTCGCTAATGACGCGCATGTATGGCGCCATCTCGAGCCGGTGGCTGGTGGGCGGCGGCAGCAGCGTACTGCGGATCGAATCGAGAGTGGTACCGCTCGATGCCGGCCCTGGCAGTCCGCAGACCAGGACAGCCACGACCGGTAGTCAACAGGAGTCGAAGCAGAATAGTGAACAGTCCAGCCGAGTGGCGACCAAATCGAGCAGCCCCGATCCAGGGCAGCGGACATCCAGCACCACCAAGGCCGATGGAAGTTATGAGGTGATTGCATCACAATACGGCACATAGCGATGCAATACCTGACTGTGCCGAGAAAAAAAAACAGCAGATCGTGATTAGCGACAAACGGGCAACGAAAAGGCGGCTACATATGTGATCTCTAGCCTGAAGATCACATTCGCCCGGGTTTAAGAAATGACGCTAAGTGTTATGATGTCATTTCCTATTTTTTGTGTGTGCAATGGTTGATTGTGTGCAATTGCTAGTGTTGCTGTGAGTTATACCCGTCGCGTGATGCAATACGCGTTTCTTGAGGTTGATTACAAACATGAGAGAAGCTAGAGTCCCTGAGGAAGTTCATGGCAAATAGTGCGGTGCAGTATGACACCGCGACGAGAATTAACGCCATCTATGGTCAATGGAAAGCAGCCTAGCTTAACCCTCGCCCCGTTGGGGGGGGGGCCATTTTGGCCCCCCCTGTGGTTTTTCCTGAATAGCCAAATTTTCAGTACCTTCCCGGGCATCAATTTGACACCTTCACACAAAACTTCAAGTCTTAGGTCACCTTAGGTCAGGAGTTATTGAGGTCAAACTGAGGTCATGTTCGAGGAAAAATGAGCAAAAAACATGCAATCTTGAAACGCTCACCAAATCTACAGTTATCAAGCAATTTTAAAGTTCTTTATATGGTCTAGTAGACAAAAAGCGGCGCTACAAAACTGCTATCTCGGATTTTCAAAATTTTGGGTTTTTGACCCCAAAAAATTCAAAAAATGGATTTTTTTAGAAAAACTAAAAAAAATCCAAAATTTTTCCGAATTTCGAAAAAAAACCGGAATATATGTGATAGTCCCTGCGCTCTTCTATATACATACCAAATTTCAGATCGATATCTTGTTTTTTGGCCAAGTTATAGCAAAAAAACTGTTCAAAAATGAGGACGTCAAATTTTTGAACTCAATTTTTAGCGATTCTAGACCACGTACGGAAAAACAAAGACCACCATTGAACTCCCCGTGACGAGCTGCATCGATTCGATACCCATTTTATGCAAAAATATCAACTTTGAAATTTGACCTAATTTGACCTGACCTTGACCTGACCTTGACCAAAACGTGACCTAGGCTGGCCCCAAAGGCTGCCTGACCCACATAATCGCATTTGTCATGTGAAATGGACCATAAAACATGTATCACACGACACTTTCATATTGTGACCCCCCAGTGACCTGACCTCTGTGACCTGACCTGGTATCAGTGACCTCAAATAGCAAAATATGTGTTTGAAGAACATTTCCCCATCGATGATTTTCAATGAAATGCATTTTACTCGATTTTAGAACGCATTTCTTGAAATGCCTATAAACGGTGAAAATTGGACCTTTGACCTGACCTGTGACGTCATCGGTTTGACCTAGGTCAATAAAATTGGGTCACAAGGTAGTTCCCTGATAGGGCTATCCAACACCGTTTGCCGCTTGTCGCTAGGTTGCGTGGTTCTCGAGATCTTAGGGGGGGGCCAAAATGCCCCCCCCCCCCCCAACGGGGCGCGTTGCTCGGCAGAGCCCAACGGGGCGCGGGTTAACCCTCGCCCGTAAACGGTGTTTTGCCACCTTCGCCCATGCAGGGGGGGGGGGGTTGGTGCGACCCCCCCCCCCCTGGCGTTTGAAAACGGAGCGTCGTAGAGCTTAGCGGAAAACACCAACGGATTGCTCTCAACGAGATCTCGCGATTGGTGGTATATTTTTTGGTCCTAGGTCAACATTTGACCTACTTATGACCGGTCAAAGGTCAAATTTTCGGAAAAATCTAACTTTTTCAGATTTCCGCGCCGATTGCGGCAAAACGGTAAGAGATATCGACTTGAAACCTTCACTATCGTGATCCTTGATCAATTCTCTATCGTTTGGTGTGTACTTCGATGTCATAACTCTAAAAATGATGCGTTGGGAGCATCGAAAGTCTGCAAGGTCATTTGTGCATTGGGTCACGTCAGGCGTGTGACGTCACTGACCTGACCCTGACCCAAAATGAACTACAAGAAACAACCGACGATGCCTGAAATGGATAGCAAATTCGAATTCAGGGCATCAAAATACCCCGAAAAGGCATACAAGTGCAAGAAGTCATTACAGGTCAACCGAGGTCACTGACCTGACCTTGACCTTTAGTAACCTTGAAAAGGTCAACGGACATTGTGCCAATGTCAAATCAGCCAGTTATGATTCTAAAACAATCCATCAGTGTGTCAGGTCAGTCGGCATTTATAGGGGAGAGTGGGGCACATTCGTGCATGGGGCACATTCGTTTTCAGCAGTTTATGGGAACATGAGTGACTGCACGAGCTCAAGGTAAATTATGGAAATATGTCTATCATTGCAGCCCTTCGTTCAATGTAGATGACAACACTGTACCTGCTGTCATGCTTGATAAAAACGCAAATTTGTAATATTCGTGCGCTCTCCAAACTTTTCTCATAGCATTCATTTTCGTGATCGTGACTCGGAAATGTGGTTCAGCTTTTCAAAATTGGGGGCGAAGAAGCTCACTGTATTCACGGAACAGCTGCAAACTTGTTTGTTGAAAAACTGTCATTTTTTCAACAAGAAATTTTGAAATATATTACAAATGACGTTGTGGGGCAGGTTCGTGTACGCACTGCCTAAGGGCACATTCGTGCATATTTTTTTTCGTTTTTGCGAGTTATGACTTTATCTGTAATAGGTTTCACTAATGACGCTCGCCTGACTCAGTCTCGGCTGCTTGCGACGTCGTGACAAGTAATTCACACGACCTTGGCGAGGTCACGAAGGCCTGCAGTTGGCACATTCTTGTTGGCCTGCCCATTCTTTCTACATATGTTGTGCAATGCATTCTTGTCGAAAGGAATTAAGTGAAATGACCCACTGCCAATTTCCTTTGGTAAATTTCTGGTAATGCCCGGTAATTGCTCGAACTTTGCAGGGTGCACGGAAGTGCCCCACCCCTTGCACGAAAGTGCCCCATAGGTGGGGCAGTTTCGTGCAAACGTTCAGAGTTATTAAAAGTCATTTTTTCTAATAGAAGCAATGATTTTAGAGGATAACTTTTAAGGAGGAAAAGCATCTGCAATAGTTCCTTTCCATACTACAAACAACAATTTTGCCGTTGCACTAACCAAAGAACAGATATATGGATTCATCCTTTTTTTGCACGAATGTGCCCCACTCTCCCCTACCAATGCACAGTGGGCGATCCGGCCGGTGTAGCCTCGCGAAACCTATCGGCATTCATAACATCCATGTTTTTGAAGCTAGAACCACAATATTTAGGAGCAACCTTCTTGAATATCCAATGAGCATATGTTTTAAATAAGGACTATCTCTTATAGGATTTGTGCTCTGTGGCGAGCTTGCAATTTGCCTAATTGCTGCTCGAATAACGCATGAATACTTTTGAGAGTAGGTCGAAATTTATGACGGTATGAGCTGGGTAGGACATTGAAATGGTGTGTACCTCCGTAGAAAATTGCTTCCAAACCATTTTTTTATTCAAACGATTATGCCCTACCAATTTATACATAGCATGAAACAGCGTAAATCTCGCCCGGCAAGGCCCCATTTCATAACGTGACCCAAGCAGCGGGTTTGGTTTTTGGTAAATAACTTCGCAAAAAATGGCCGCAGAACCACGATTTTGACATCGTCGTGTTCGCCTTGCTCAGGCGCGTCGAATGGTATACTTTTGTTCAGGTGAGGCCACCGTAAGGTCAACCTGACCTTGACCTCGAGTCAAGGTCAGGTCAGAGGTCTTCAAATCACGAAGTTGGTCGAAGGAGGTCATATCGCATATCATTCGATTCGGCAGGTCTTCCAGAGTCCATTGGTGACCTTGTCGACTCTCTAGCTCAACTTGATCGGGAGTTATTGACGAAAAACTCGTATGACCCTAGTGACGTCATAAATGACGTCATGCAAGGTCAACAATGCAAAAATGCAGCATCAGATCTTGCAAGGAGTGCATGAAGTAACGATTCCATGTACTTGAGACAATTGAATATCATTCCTGGCGCCAAAATAACAGTTTTCATATTTCCCCACTGACTTATAGGTGAGGTCACGTGACCAACCTGACTTTATGTGACATTTAGGAAAAATCTGAGATATACAAGTTGTAAGACCTCTGAAGGACAATAAGTCCTACAAGTCTCACCTCCCTGTGAAAGTTACTCTGGCACTGAGAGCGTTGCAAGGTTGCGACATCTGAGGATCGTGCAGAGGTTCATGTATGACGTCATAGGTCAGTGACCTGACCTGACTTGAAAGTGCGGTTGGTGTCACAAGATCCAGCGTGTATCAAAGGTCAGGTATGCCAGGTTGCAGCTCTCTATTGCCTGGGTGTTTTGAGCTATCGCGAAAACACCCTTTGGGGCATTTACCACTTGTGCTCAAGTGCACCAAGCCACGGCCAACCCTTAGAAGAAAAAAGTGTCTGGATGCCAGGGCTGCAAGTGGCTGCAAATTTTCACTGGCTCCCCTAATAGATAGTGTCTTAGTGCATGCGATACAGCATTATTTTCAGTTCATCCTCGTAAAACTTTTTTTGCTGGGCTTGGTTAATTCAGTGAGCGTAATGTTAAGTGGTAGAAAAAAAATATAAAAAGTTAACCCAATTATAAGACATTTTGAACTGATTTTGTCTACTTGCTTTCTATGGCGGAATCGTCTAAACATCTAAATTCCACTTTCCATGCAAAATGGATGCTCAACACCTAGCCATTTCATCGTTCCGCAAAATATTCAAAGAGCGTAAAAATCGGTTGTGATTATCCCCCTTATGAAGTGTTACGGAACGCTGTCTTTAACGATACTTTTGTCTACGAACAAATGTCTCCTGAGCTATGCAAATGCACTAATCGTAATCTTTGATGAATTTTCTGTCGACTAGTATGCGTTGTTTTCCAATTTTCGGAAAAAAGTGTCTTTGAGGTTTCGCGAGGCTAGACCGGCCCGATCGCCTACCGTGCAATGTGAAGCAATCTCCAATTTAGCGTAAATCTGGCCGGAGGTTGTTCCCTTTATGACGTCATAA